CTTGCTCATTTGAGACTCTTCCAAAATTCAGTCTTCAGCCAGAGACCTAGATAAAGATCTCTTTGGGGTCTTGGAAGTTCCTCTCCCCCCAAATATCCACGTATTGGGACTTCGGACCGTGAAAGGACACTTGGAAGCTTTGCTAATTAAAAGTGTCAAATAACGAGATCTTTGTTTGCATACAGTTGTGAAATGCGTGGTCTTATTGCTCAGAAAGGCGAAACAGGGAGGGTAAAGGGAGAATGGGTAGGAAAGAGGAAACCGTTTACAAGGAACTATATGTGACCTCCTCCCTAGGGGACAGACAACCGAAAAGTGGGTGAAGGGAGACGTCGGACAGGGCAAGATATGACAAAATACCAATTTATAAACTATCAAGGGCTCATGAGGGAGAGGGGAGCGGGGAGGGAGGGGAAAAATGAGGACCTAATGTCGGGGGTTTAAGTGGAAAGAAAATGTTTTGAGAATGATGTACAAATGCGCTTTACACAATTGATGTGTGTATGGATTGCGATAACAGTTGTATGAGCCCCTAATAAAATGTTTTTAAAAAAAAAGAAAGAGACTGCCCAGAAATGTCTCAGCAGTGCTGTCCGTACAATCACTAGGAATGATGCAAGCTTGTGTTTCTCGGGGTGTTGTTCACATGAAGCTGTACAGACATGTAGACCCAGGGGCGCTCCCCCTCTGGCCAGACAAGGTCCCTAGGACTGTTTGTTCCAGGAGAGGAGAGGGTTCACTCCACAGGGAGCTAGGATGGGTGGGGGCAGTCAGGTCCCCATTCCCCTGGAGATTGATAAAAGAAAGAAAGAAAGAATGGGGCCCAGGGAGCGAAGACTTTCAGCATGAAACATACAGGTAGGGCAAGAGATTTCACAGAGACAGAGATTCAAGGAAGACATAAAGAAGTGCACCGACAAGAGATACGAGCCGCACGTGGCAAGTGCTGCGATCAAGAGCCGGGAGGGAAAGTGATCATGTGAGGTCAGGTTTCTGTGGAGGAATCCCACATTCCGGTAGCAGTCCTTTCATCTACTGGGAAGCCCGCAATAAAAATGTTTAAAGCCTGTTTCCAACTTGAGTCTGGCAGGAGGGGGAGTTGACATGGTGCGGGGAAGTGAGGCTTGTGAGATGCTTGAGGCAGGGGACACAGGGGCACTGAGGATGGTAAGAAACTCCGGACAGAGCAGCAATGGGTGCACCACCTGGGGGGGTGGGGGGGCTAAGGAGTGTCACTGAATTGGACACATAAAAGTGATATTGGCAAATGTTTTGTTAGTTATGTTTCACGACACTGGGAATAAAAAAATGATTAGGAAGGGGTGGGGGTAAGCAAATGGAGAAGTTACGCAGCGCATCTTCCCAGCAGGCTGCGGGGATGTCAAATCCTGCTTCGGTAGGGCCTTGGCACACTGCGGGCCTCAGTCTCTCCCCTGTGATTTGGGCTCCTAAATCCCACCCCACAGGATTTTGTGAGACTTCAACCAGTTAACCAAAGTATGTGTTCACTAAGTAGTAGCTTCCTGGCTTCTTATTTTGGAACAAGTGCTAACCAAAGGGCAATATGGCTGACTGGGAGGATGAATGTGGGAAAAGAGCTGAAACAGTGTAAGGATTTAAAATGTTTTGCTATTATACCTGCATTACTAGGGGCTCTTCGGAATTGAACTTAAAAGCTTTAGACCAGGGCTCCCAGTGAAACTTTCTGAAAACATGAGAATGGTCTCTACAGTGGCACTGCCCAAGACTGGTTCCCTCGCTCCGTGAACTGTGGCCAGCGCAGCTAGAAACCGTCTTCATTTCATTTCATTGTAATTTTTTAAGATGTAGAGTCCTGCTTCCCTGGGGGCTACCGAGCACTCTTCTACATATTTCCGGTCTTGGGGAAGCGGAAAAATGTTTCCTTTAAGCATACAGATAGCAGAATCATTCTGCCGGGCTTCAAATCCCACTCTTCTCCATGCTAACTGGGCGATTTGTATGTGATGTCCTCTAAAACGTCTCGTTCGCTCAGGACCTATTTTCAGGTGGGGTCAAGCTGGACAGCAGTGGGGAGCACAGAACAAAACACAACTCCGTCCTGCACTGTCCTGGTCATCCTTGCAATGTGGGAGCCCACGGAGGCAGCCACGGTGGGTCCGGCAGGGCTTTGCCCATGTGCTCTGACCCTCGGTTCTGCCAAGCATGATGTCCTTTCCCAGGGGCTAGTCTCTCAAGATGCAGTCTCGTCATCCTCACTGCGAAAAGCCTGCTGGTTGTACTTCCCCCAACGTAGATCACTGGGACCCTATCTGGAAATAAGGTCTTGGCAGACATCACGGAGTTAAAGCAAGGCCAGCTGGATTAGAGTAGGCCCTACGCCAATGACTCCTGTCCTTAATAGATGTGAGAACCGGGGTACAGACGCACAGAGGGGAAGACCAGGTGATGGCCGAGGTGAAGTCTGAATGGAGTCATCTACAGAGTGCAGAACACCAAGGATCTGAAGCCGCCAGAAGGGAGAGGAAGCAAAGAGTCTTCCCTAGGAACTTCAGAGAAAGCATGGGCCTGCTGAAACCTTCATTTCGGGTTTGTAGTCCCCAAGATTGAGGAACAAAAACATATCTGCTGCTGTGTGCCTCAGAAATGGGTTACAATTTGTGGTCCTCTGTTATTGGAACCCCAGAAATGAGTCCCTAGGTGCTCCCATGACCTCCTTGGTCCTCAGTTTTCCTCCCTTATAAAGAGCAATGATTTGGGCACCTCATGCTTCCCGTAGATGTTGGAAGGACTAAATAAATACACGCAAGCCCTTCCCGGGGTATGAAGAGTGCTTCCCCTCGCACCGGACTGCAACTGCGCATCTACTCACTTGACACGCTGCTTACCACCAGCTCCCAGGACTGGGTTCGCACATTCAGACTCTCATTGAGTGAGTGTCGGTGGGAGGGAAGGAAGGTTAAAACGGCAGTACTATTTTTCATGAAGAGGTAGAAAAGTAAAATGAATAAGCAACCATATGTGAAAGCCTTGGATAAACATGTCCGTGGAGCTGCCTCCTAGAGATGAGCCTGGAACCTGGCCCTCTGGGAATGAAAACGGGCTTCCCATTGGCAGTGAAGGAAGGGATTGGGAACGCCGAAAGGCAGACCCATACACTAGAGGGGCTTTCTGATACCACATCTAAGCCAACGGCTATCGAGACGATTCCAACACATGGCAACTCCAAGTTTGTCACAGAGGAACTGGGATCTGTTGGCTTTTCAGCGGTTGTTTGTTTCCAAAGTAACACCTCGGGTCTTTCTTCTGAGGTACCTTTTCAGGGACTTGAACCACTAACCTTCAGCGAGCAACTAAGTGAACTCACTCAGCATTGGCCCCCACCTCAGAAAATACATGCTTTGATCCTTACAAGCTGGTTCACCACAGCTGCTGTGAGAGCGCACCTGCGAGCCGCCGTGCGATTGCGCTTACCGGTGTTCCGCTCTAAGTGAACGGTGCCGTTGGAAGTGAGCTAGGTATGTGCTGTCCAGCTCCCGCTTGCCAAGTCCTCTAGTAATGATCCAGTCACCAGCTTCCCTCTCTGCCCCCCAAAATAAGGAGTGTCGGGCAGGTTTTCATAACTGTTTATTCATTATAAATAGTAATATTTACTGCACTTTTTACAGGAGAGGCATTTTTACAACACGCTGCTGTTGGTTGAGGCTGTAACACAAAGACAGTACTGCTCTTGTTCCATCACCCTCGACGACCAATGTAGGAACTAACCTGGGTGCTATGTCTAGTCTCACTAACTCGCTACGTCATAGTTCATAACTCTATAAGGAATGTATGGGTGCCTACTTCACTCATTGTTCTGAGAAGAGAGAAAAAGAGAGAAATAAATAACACTGCCTTCCACCTTCTTGTTCCTCTTAACATTGCAAAGAACAAGTTTATTGACATTCTAAAGTGTCACCACATGCGTGTGTGTGTGTGTGTGTGTGTGTGTGTGTGTGTGTGTGTAAACCTCCATTCCCATCACCTTTTAATATCCGTGATCGTGGTTTCATTTCAAAGCATGTGAGGGCCATGTGGGCATGTCTGGGTTTGCCCGGCCCTTCCTAGAAAAGAGAAGAATGTAAACGTGATCATTTTAAAAGCATTATGATCTGACATGGTCTCTAACTGAAAGGAGCACGTCAGGTGTTGGTGGCCCAGCAGCTGGGAAACACCACTGCGTTCTCCCGCCAGGGCTATCGAGCTGTGGAGGGACAAGCACCTGCAAAAAGAGAGTTCAGGTTCAGTTTCTAACGCCTTGGCCATCGCCAAAGCATCCGTGAGGTACACAGTATTGCACACTGGGAAGCAGTGAGGGGTGGGGGTGGAGGGAGGCATACAGCACCTCTTCACCAGGCCCTCCATCCCCTTCTCCCCACCCCAGAGGGGCTTCCAGATGAAAACAGATTGGGAGAGCATCAAGCAGAAGGAGAAAAGAGGCTATTCTTCATGGCATCCCATATCCTGTGAGCAAGACGTGTCCATGACATTTATTGATTACAAATGAGGATAAGATAACAAATAATTTATTGGGCAAGTCCTTTACATCTAGTCTAGTGTCCTAAAACATGACAGCATTGATTTTTTTTCATTTTTCAGATCCATCTTCAGGGGCCGAAAAAGCACAGGAGGGCCACCTCTCCCGTTTCGCTGACGGCGGTTTCCCTTTGCTGAACTGTCAGCATCGGACATCCCCCACAAGGTCCATTTTTTGCATTCTCCTGTGATATTTCACACCACGCTGCCTGCCCAAACCGGTCCAGGGGAATCACACGCACGCACGCAGGCACGCAGGCACGCACACTGGAATGATTTTGCCCCCTGACCACCGGCACTAGCGGGCACTCGGGGCATTTTGATATGTAGCCGTGTTAAACCATTGCCTTAAAAAGCTGCTTTTGTCCCTTACGCCTCCGGCTCGTGCTCTTCGAAATGGCTTTTGGCCAACATGTTCAAAAGAATCGGAAACCACTGGAGAAAAATAAAGCCAATCACTCTCCCGTCGCGGCTGCCTCACGCCCCCACCCCACCCCAGCCCCCAAAGGGAGAGGGATTGTTCTGAGAAGACTCTTCGTGTCTAGAGCGTGGAGACCAGAGACAGGGCCAGTTAAAGCTCCACGTGGGCAGTTCACTTACGCAATATCTGGCTTGAGATAATGAAAGGCACCTGTAAAGAAACAAACACAGCTTTTTAAGTCGGCTGGGGGATTCACAGCGAGGGCCAACATCAGCTACAGGCTGACAATGTCATATTTAATACCATGGTATCAAAGGACGGCCACTACTATTTTTATTCCTGAGACAAGTTTGACACCACTCTGTGTCCCTGGGATTACACTCCACATGATCCCCGAGCTGACCTCATTAAGACCATGTGTTTCCAATGCGGAGGGTGATTTCATTTCGGCCAGCCCCTGTGTTTTACCTAGTGGCAATCAGGTTTCATGTCTCAGCAATTAATAACCTCAAGATGTTGTTGACATCAGTTAAGAAAATAATTATACAAGGGAGCCCTGGCTGGAACAATCAACTGGCTTTGCCACAAAGTTGATCCTGGGATAAAAGGCTTAATCATGCCTCTAACTTCCCTTTCTTAAGGAAGAGCTGAGATCCAATGGTCAGCCTTCCTTCCAGGTGCAATCATCCCTAGAAAGCCCACGGCTTACTTTGTCCATACTGCCCATACTGGTAGCCTGTAACAGGGTCCATACTGTAGCCTGTGGTGCTATAGGTGGGTGGGCAGTAGGATTGAGATGTTGGAAGGCTGTCCAGACTCTTCATGTGGTCTAGTCTCTGACTGCAGCTGGCCGACACCGTGGTGGTAGGTTCCAGGCCTCCCGTGAGAGGGGAGAGCGCATAATCTGTCTGGGGCTGATGAGGCACCCCGCCGTGGTTGGTCAGGAGTCCCATTACCTAGAACCAAGAGGCAGATTGGAGAGATGTTAGCTGTGAGCTCCACTCACCATGGGTGGGACAGTACATCATACCTCAATGATCGCGTCTGAGAGCAAAAGGAAGGGAGAGCCACCAGACTCTGGTTTGGGGGAATCTCACAAAAATGACTTCGATTCAAGAAACGAATCACACATGTGCGGCAGGGCATCGTTGCGTCTCATCGGGGATTGGGTGAAAGCAAAGGTCACAACATTAAGAATCTGGCAATCAGAAAAAAACGAGGCGCTGATATCAAGGGCTCAAGTAGAAAGAAAGTGTTTTGAAATGGTGATGGCAACAAATGTCCAAAATGTGCTTGACACAATGGATGGATGGATTGTGATCAGAGTTGTACCTCAATAAAATTATTTTTTAAATTTTTTTCGCAAAAAAAAAAAAAAATGGAATCTGGCCATCAGGATTAACAATCAGGATCCACAGCTCCAAGAAGATGGAAAGTCATGAAAACTGGGGGAAAAAAGAGGAAAGGGGAGGAAGGGAAGAAGGAGGAGGAGGAGATGACTCTGGCGGAGCCTCTAATGGAATTCCAGGAAAAGAGAGGGGAGGGCAAGAATGGAGGGAGAGTGGGGAGGTGAGAGGAAGATAGAAATTACATGGTGACTGAATAGGAAATTGTCTCATTTTTCCTACATGCTACCTACCTAAAACATAGGACACCGGAGAGCTTCACATGCGATTTTAGACATTGGCATATATAGATACATAGAAAGTTAAATGAAGCCAAAGCACATGATTTCAACAAGTTTTAGGATCCCTATGCCTTGGCCCCCCCGCCCCCCCATAGCGTTCTCTCTCAAGAGAGCTCCTCTCCTTATTAAGACGAACGACTCCCTCCTGGAAGCTTCTAGCTGCTGCCCACATCCCTCCTCGGGCCTGGCTGTGGGTTCAGTCACAGACTTTGAACTGAGAGCCCTCTGCAGAGAGCAGCTCCCTCTTCATCACCTAGGATGGGGCATTCGGTCACTGAATGGACAGTGCGGGCTTCTTCCAGTCACAGGTCCCACTGCCTGGCCTCTGATCTCTTCTCTAAACTCCCAGTTCATGGTCGAGGGGGCTTCCCCAAGTGGAAGGGGAGGGGGCATTCTGTGATGGCCTCACTCCATTTTTCCACGAAGTCCCCTTGTCTGAGAAGGGCTAAAAGGGAAAACGTGACTGACACGCCGCCGTGGGACAACGTTGCTGCCAGCCGTTTTGTAAATGATCCTGGAGAAGAAGACTTTAAAACAAAAAACAAAAAAAAAAACGGTGCTAACAGAACAGCCTTCAAACAAACCCGACAGGGAAGCATTTGGCAAACTCTGGCTCACTGACCTTTCCAACACCTTTCTGATGGACGCAAGCGGGTAATTAATGGCGCTGCTGGACAACTGCCACAGGGGAGAGGAAGTGACTTCTCCACTCCCCACAATGAGGGTCGAAAGGCAAATGCAGAAGCAATCTGGCTGCTTACTGCTCGAGTTAACAGGCTCCAGCAAACAGCACGCTTTTAGAAAGCACTTGAATGTAAAGCGCCACATGAAAATTTCATGATAGCCCTGCTTTATTTTAAGAAGTTGCAGCATATGGAGATTAAAGTGTGCAAGCAAACGCAAAAGGACAGGCAGAAATGAAAACCACCCCCTGACGATAGCCCCTTGAGCCTCCACCAGAACTAGCTCAAAGGCAATGAGCGCCATAGAGTCCCAGGTCTGGGAGCCCCGACAACAAGGTGAGTGGGGGAGGCTCCTGCATCTCAGAAAGTATCCAAAATCAGACTCCAAAGACAAGGATGCCACAATTCCCTTCGGGTAGGGCTTGCATCATCCTTGTAGCTCAACAAAATCTTGAACTAAAGCTTTCAACTGATCTATCTTCAATTAGCCCCACGAGATCTGACCCTAAAAGACAACAATAAGAGAGTTGGATCTGTTCCCCACCTCATGTGGGTGACCCCCTCCAGGCGACTCGGTCCCCTGGCTGGGTCTGTATAGGTCCTGTTCTACATGCCACTGTCTCCTTATCACTTGACTTACTGTCCCTGTGTGCACACAGAAGGGCACACCTCATCGATATTGTCACATTCAAGTTCTGGAAGGCAGCCAGGGGCCTCGATTTTCTTGAACTGAACTGTGTGGTGAAATTCCTCCTCAAAAATCTCATAAAGTCGTGGGGGGGGTGGTATGTGAGTCACTCATCCATGGCAGAGGATAATTTTGTTTTATTGAAGAGCTGAGGGATAGGAGAGCCCCGAAACTGCGAATTAAGAATTAGTAGGGTACACAACTCTGGAAGGACAGTCTCTAGAGGGGGGTGCGCTCCTCAAACCCTGTCCAACACACGTCTAGTAAGTTCATGGCCTCACTCTCATGTTAGCACTCTGGACTTCATCAAGAGTGTACAGAAGTTTCATTCTCTCTGTTCTTCCGCTGCCACGGACTCTCCCCTTCCTTTATGATTTCTTCTTCCTTTGTTTTCTCCTCCTCCTCCTTCCCCTGCTTCCTCCTCTTCAGCCGATATCGATGGCTTTGTTCTGGGCACTTGGAGAATTTATCAACTTCGATTGATTACCTACTCATTTCTTCAGCCCAAATGATGCGTTGCGATTAGAAGAGAATGTGGGTTTATAATAGGTTGTTCTGTACCAAATAACTCTCTTTTCAAGTCAAGAGGCACCTCTTCATGGGCCAGAATGAAGACAAAAAATATTCTGTTTATACATATGAAATATGGGATTTTTTTAAATCAAAGGGAAATAATGACACTGGACCCAAATCCTTTACTGTATGTTAGCAAAAGAAACTGTGTAACGATATCAGTCCAGAGGGAGAAAATCCTGTACTACTGGATGAAACCAGGTATCTTTTTAAAACCCTATGCAGCAGTGCTGCTCTGTGACGCAGGCAGTTGCCATAAGTCGGACCCGACTCGACAGCAACTGGCATGGGTTTTGCTTCGATCCTCCATAAACACTCTGACTAAAACCCGGCAGATGACATGTCCCTTTAAGGGAGACCTGGACTACTCGATAGACAGTCCGAGGTGAAGAGCTCAGAGCAAAATTTTATTCAAGACATGCACATTCTCTCCTGAGCTGTATACACGTGTTTGTTAAAAACTTTTTTTAATCCCCTGCCATACATTTCTTATTTGTATAACTTGGAAGGCAGCAATAACTTTGTCCACAGGAAAACAAACAAACTAAAAACAGGAAGATCCTAAAAGAGAAGAAATTCGTACCTCGGGTTCTGATTGACCAGGAAAAAGAGCGTCCAGTGTAAACAGGCCGTGCTTTGAAAGAACAGCTCTGAAGCGACCCAGACTTTTCCCCCAAGGTCATTGCTGGTGATGAGACATGGTGCTAGTCTTACGACCCCGACAGCAAATGTAATCAAACCAGTGGAAGATGCCATTGTCTCCTGGCCCCCAAAAAGCTCATCAAGTGAAATCAAAGATCAAGACCATGCTCATTTGGGTGTTTTTTTTTTTTATATGAGGGGGATGGTGCATTTGGAGTTCATTCCACCAGGTCAGACTATTCAAGCTTTCTATTTAAAGGTTCTGAAAAGATTTTGTAACAGTGTGCGACAAAAAAGGCCTGATTTATGGCAGATGGGGGACTGGTTTTGCCACCACGACAATGCACCTGCTCACACAGCCATCTTAGTGCAACAGTTTTGGGGAAAAAAAACAACACAGCATGTCTCTTACCCCTCACACCTTACTCATCTGACCTCACTCAATGCAACTTCTTTTTGTTTCCACAAAAGAAGGAGAACATGAAAGGACAGCAATTTGACGACATAGAAGAGATGAAGAAAAAAATGAGGGAGGTGCTGTGTGCCATCCAAACAGATGACTTTGAAAAATGATTCCAAATATAGATTTGCAGATTTGACAAATGTATTAAGTGTAATGAAGAGTACTTTGAAAGTGATAAGGTTGTTTATTTTAAAAATAAAATACATAGCTTTTGGGGGAAATATTCCAGTTTTGGGGGGGTGCCCCCTTGTATGAAACCCAGGATTAATGAAGCCATGGGGACAGCAAGTAGAATAAGAGTTTCAGGGGATTGGGTGGG